TTCCAAGATTCATTTTCTAGAGCTTGAACTTCAGTGATCCCTCCGAATCTTCAAAGTTGTGGCCCTTCCTGCTTTGCTTGATTCAAGGAGCACCTTTTCCTGCTTACCACTTAAGATGAACCAGAACAGTGTGATAGGAATGCTCGTGCACTGCGCAGTGAGAGGAAACTCGATTTGCCTTGTGGTGAATAGACAAGTCTCATAACAATCATCTTTAGTTTTCAGTCATCTAATAGTATATGTAATCTAACAGTATATGTGATACAAGACATGAAGCACAAGATCCCTTTGTTACTGAAAAGTTCAGCTATGAATGAAGTACAGTGATATCAAGTCTTGTGTTTTTGAGTTTATCAGGAAGATGTAATGTTCAGTGACTTCGTGCTTGAAGCAGAATTTCTGGAAGGTATTTTTATGACCTTAGCAGCAAGTCATAGGATTTATTTTTAAAAAGTCTTTTCCCTACCTGTCTAGAAACTGGCAGTGTATTATTCTACTCCTTTGAGTAGCATTCTCTCAAATACCTGTTTTAAGAATGAGCAGGGTATGTTTTGCTTGTTCCTTAAAAAAGAGCTAATTTGCATGTACCTCATGTCTATGTAAAAATCTTCCTTTATATAAATTTTCGAAATTACTCGAAATTTTGTAAGCTACCCCACATCAACAGTTGTGTAACACTTCATTATTTTTTCGTTATTAAACTTGATTTAAGAATTAATGAAGTGCCTCATCTACAACTGCTTTTAGTAGCCAATTTGTGAGGAATATTTTTTTCATTAGACTAATAAGAAAAATAACAGCCATGCATTCAGCAAGCTTTATCAGGTCTGATCTGGCCAGCAAGGATGATAAGCTCTGGTAAACTTACCAGTTTAAACTTTGGATAAGCTGTTCTGAAGTTTGTACTGTAATAATTCTAGTCTAGCCTGAGAAAAAGCAGAGTCTCAACTTGTCAAATAAATGAGATGCTGAGTTGTCATACACCTAATAAAACTCCTCCATGTCTGGATAGCTGCAGCAGTTGGTGCAGCTCTTACTGCAAAGGTTTTAGTTCAGTACTCCTCTCTTTAGCTAAACAGTGCTAACACTAGCCCTCCTCCCCCCTTTTTTTCCTCTCCTCTTCCAATTAGGGCTCTTGAAACTCAAGTTTCCCCTCATAGCAAGATGCAGATTCTTTCCTATGCTTTGCTCAATCTTATAGTCTGTGAGACTGTGAACTTAATTTTCCGTAATTTTTTTTCAAGTGCTGTGTATCCTTTCATCTTCTCTGAATACAAGTGGTATAAAAGCAAAAGCTTTAACTGATCCTTAATAAATTCTAGTATACGGTTTAAAAATAAATAAAAACAAGAGAAACAAATCCCTCCTCAAATGATACAAATGAAGAACATAGTGGGCTTATAAGATTTAGATCAGAGTCAGTTCTGTCAGTTTCATGAAAACTTACTGATCTTTATTCCTGAGAAAGACTTTCAACAAACTTCAAATATACTTATTTTACTTAAGGTTTTTGTTTTACTCAAACAAGAAGCATAAAAGCCTTAACATCTAAAAACTTTGAAGGAGAACAGCTGCATTTCTTTTTATGCTGTGTGCTCTTAGTGTGATAGCTTGTTAGGATGCTTTCTCAAGCATCCATAACACAAGTTGCATCCAGAAATTTTAATAAGTTTTCTGATAAGCCAAGGGCTTACATACCTATCATATCTGTGCTTCCTTCAGTTAATTTTTTTTATCTCAAAATCTTCGTGTTTGCTTAGGGAATATTGTGGCTTGGATCTTTAAATGAAGCTATTTGTATGATGCTTGAAGACTTTCAGAGCTTTCTGCCCTGATTTTTAGTAAGTGAAATTGAAGGGAAGGGGAGTTTAATAATCAACAGCTCTGCATGCTTAATTTAAGAACTTTGTAGTTTTTAAACTACAGGAACATAAAGGAAGTTAACATTCACGTGAAGAAATGTAGAAACTTTGTTAAAGCCATCCAGAGAGTATACATTTAATTACCAACTAAAACCATCCGGAGACTATTTGCCTGAGCAACCTTACTCTCGGCATTTTTTTTCTTTTGAATTTTACTGTCATCTTTACATTTATTGCTACTCAGATATATCACTATAATATTTAATAAGTAGATTAAATTTGTAGCTCAATAGTGTCGATGCTGCAATCTAAAATGGACCAAGCAAGTATTCATTAGAGAACAAATGACAGAGATTTGAGGAAATAACAGTGGGGATAAAGTATATGTTATCAGTGCTACTGGATGTTGTGAAGAGCTCTCAAGACTCGTGTGTCTGGCTGTCTCATGAATCTAGTTTTGGTTTCTACACCATACCTAATCAGCCCAGTGTGTGCCTCAGAAATACTGAAGAGGCTTCTCCATATATGAGAGCTAGCTACAATTACGTGATGGATCTTTGCCACTTTTAACATTAATGATGGAGCATAAAAAGGGTTCTAAGCCCATTGATTCATATCTTACTTGAAAAAAATATAACTCTGTAAAAAGTTACGTGGAAAACTAAAGAAAATTAACAAAAAAGAATTCTTCTGTCCATAGAAGGATTAGGTGCCTGAACTTTTTTGACCAAGAGTTTCTAATATGGTTGGAGTCATCTGTCTAGCATTGTTTTTGATGACAAAGGATAAGTCTTAATGTGCCTGAAAGCCTCACTACTGCTGAAATAGGGTCAGAGACTGCAGTAAGTGTGGCCATACTAGCTGATACACCTTTAGCTTTTGTAGTGACTATTCATATGCTGGCCCTGTAATTTAAAGCAGTTTCCTTTTGAGTCTGCCTAATAAGAGGGCTGATAGCATTTTATACTCTGTGAAGTGCTTCAAGCCAAGCCAGTTCTTCCTGTTAATTTATTTAACTTTGACTAATGAAAAACTAAAGCTAGTTTTAGCATAAGTAATAACAATATCATGTTAAGATGAGTAATAAGATTTAAAAAATCAACAGCCTTGACTCTGACTATTCATTACTCTCTTGTCACTAATTCAGCAGCTTTAACAGCCTGACAAGGAATTGCCCCGGACTAGCATTTTCTTTGGAAGCTCTTGTGTCCTGTCCTGCCACTGTTAGACCTAGGTGCTAGATACTGCTGTGTTTATGCCCCAGTGTTTTCCATAGTCTGCCGTCATTTCCCTCAAAGACTATTCACGAGAGCTTTTTGCTAACACCAGCTTTGTTGCTCTATTGAGAACATGGGAAAGAAGTTAATTTTTAGTATTATTTCATTATGAAAAAAGACTTTTTTTCTATCCTAGACATGTGCAGGCTCTACACTCAAGACTGTTATTCTTTTATTGTTCTTCTGCAAATTCTGAGTGTCTTTTTGATTTTTTCCTGCACTCCCTGCCCCCCAGTATTACTATTTAGCTGTCCAAGTGGGATTCAATCATTGTTACTTCAGGATTTGCCATTTTTATTTTCAGAAAATCAAAAGCACTCAATAGGTGCACAACAAGAAAACAAGGATCACATATTTAATAATATCTAGGAAGATCAGGTGCAAGTTCCAGACAGAAGCAAAGTGAAAGAATGGGGAAAATTCAGTACTTTTGGTGAAGATAACCTGCTACTGATTTGGGTACCTGATGCTGACAGGACTAGTATTCAGAGTTATAAGACTGCAAATGCCAATCAGGTGTCTGTGTCAGGTTGTTTTCTCAAAACTTACAGTACTAATTTACAGTACTAATAGGAAAGCAAAGGTACTATTATCCTAACGTTTAGGAAACTATACTTACCTGTTTTGGAATATTCCATTTTGCTTTAACATCAAGACAGTTTTTCTAATTTGCTTTGATCAAAAAATGAGATCATGAAATGAGCCAATAAGATCATGAAATTACACAATGAAATTGAATCCTTAAGGCACTGAGTCAATCCCAGAATTCCATTTTATTCAGTAACACCTCCCAGTCTTCTTGAAACCCTACTCCTTTCTGCAAAACAAAACAGAGAAGCTATTCTCACTTTTCATAGCTCTGATATTTCTTTGTGGATGTTACAGCAATATAACCAACCTGAAGAGCTTCATCCAAGAAGCTCTGGTTATTCATTGTGCTTACATTTGTTGCCAGCTGTTGAGGTGTATTAGTTGAGGTGTGCCTTTTAGGTTTTAAAACAATTTACCAGAACACAGTGACCCATCATCCGCTTTCAAAAACATACTCATTTGTGCCCTTTGCTAAACATTAAGACTGTAACAATGTAAGAAGTACAAATTCTGTGTCTATCTGAATCCCTATTCTTGCTCTCTAGAGTATTTTTTATCAATAGTCAGTTATTGAGGGATCTGTACTGATATTTAGTTATAGAAACAAAAATTGTTTGCCTCACAACAAACGTAGTGCTTTCTGGAGTCTGTTAGAGTGAATTGTGTAGTCTCTCTGTTCAAATTTTCAGGGTGTCAGACTGAGTTCTTATAGATTAATATGTAGTTTGTTGCATTGCTCCTTTCCTATTTTTATGACTTCAGGTTGAAACAGCAGTTATACAATCCTGAAAGACCTCATCAACTAAGAGAATCTTGTCTAATGTATATAAAGATGATCCATGTTAGGCTCTATGTTCATTCCATACTTACAGGTATCACATTGTAGAAGCGACAATTCTATATACACCATATAACAACATAGAATAATTAAGAAGGGACCTTTAGAGGTCATCTACTGCAACATCTTAGCTTTAAAAAAAAAACAAAATATCTGCTAAATTAGTTCACATTTCCTAATGCCACTCATTATTTTGCTGTCTTGTACTGTTTTAATAACACATGATATTAAACAGGATTACGTAAGCTAGCAGGTAAGTCTCCTGGCAGTGTTTGAGAAAAGCTGGTAAAATGTCTGGCTGGATGCACTATTTGTTTTGCAGTTTACCTCAATTTCAGTGGATTTTTGTTCCATACAATATGTAAAGTAAGTTTGTGCACTTCACTTATTTAAATGACCAATAAAAGGTACCAAGATTTTCTTATTTTGCAGGTCAACAGCAAGGACAAGATGGAGGAGTAAAAGTACAGCAAGCCACAATAGCCCCTGTAACTGTAGCAGTAGGTGGCATTGCTAATGCAGCAATTGGTGCTGTTAGTCCTGATCAGATAACACAAGTGCAGCTGCAGCAAGCTCAACAAGCTTCTGACCAGGAAGCACAACCTGGCAAGAGATTGAAAAGAGTTGCCTGCTCATGTCCTAACTGTAGAGAGGGAGAAGGAAGGTAAATCAATAAATATTTAAGCAATTTATTACAGTTTGGCGAATTTAAGACTGTTTTCTTTGTATTGCCTACAAGTTTTTAATCTCGTCTGTTGGAAAACATGCTTGTATGTTTCTTTTTCATCAGGCGATTACAATTTTCTCAATTAATAGAAATGTTTTTCCTAAGTTAATAGTATTTCCTAGTATTATTACTTACCTGTTTAAATTTGATCTTTTTAGAGGTAGCAATGAGCCAGGAAAAAAGAAACAGCATATCTGCCATATTGAAGGATGTGGAAAAGTTTATGGCAAGACATCTCATCTTCGGGCACACCTGCGTTGGCACACCGGTGAAAGGCCATTTATATGCAACTGGATTTTTTGTGGCAAGCGGTTTACAAGGAGTGATGAGTTGCAAAGACATAGAAGAACCCACACAGGTTGGTCAGCCCTCTCTGTATACGTGATGTAGCAGGTGTGAATCATTGAGGCCATAGTTTTACAGTTATATAAAAGATGCCATTAGGATCTCTGAAAACGTCATTTATATGTAAATAAAGTAACTCAGAAAGTAAGTGGTAGATCTTAGTGTTTATTAGTGCAAGGTAAGTGTGAAATCAAGTGATTAAAATGATCTGTTCAAAAAGTTCTTTTGAATTTCTGCTAGGTGACCTTCTCATCACAGGTACTGATATACTGTAGTATCCTGTAGTGTCCAGTCTTAGTCTGACATATTTTCTTGAGCACAGAGGGCAGCTGTGAGCCAAGCAGCTGATTCTTCATTCGGACTAGTTCAATCCTTAAGAATCCTACTCTATTCATCCAATTTGGTCTACTTGTGAAGTTTCAAGAAACACTTGATAAGGCACGTTTTCTTAACAGTTCATGTTAGAAAAGTGAACCTTCCAGAAACTGAAAATCGTGTCAGCCTTCATATTCCTAGCCTGACGAAAGCTTGCCCCCTGCCCCACAACACACAGCCTCTGAAGAAAGCACTTGAAAGAAACCTACACACCCATGACACTTGAACACTGACAGCACTTTTGTAGTATTGAGAGATTCACAGAGCTTTGAGATTCATGCTTCCAAATTGCCTCCTCATCATTGTAGAAGTAAAATTAGTTGTTTTATTTACTGCTTTTTTGATGTTTTGTTGTTTTTTTAATGCTAGCAAATAGTTCTCTTAGTGTCTCATACAGTCAAGTGTGTGAAAATGGTGATCTGAAATTAGTGACATAAAGTGACCTAATGAACTAAAATTCAAAGTACGCATGAGAAAATTATACAGAAAATATATTATTGAAAGCAATTTTAGAGTGAAGAGCCAAAAGCCTTTGACTGGCAGATCTGGAATCAAACAGAGAAGGAAACATTGTCTACAAAAGGATACTTCAAACAGTGAATATAGAAGTGTCAAATGATCCAATAAAAATTGTATTTAATGCTGTCTTTCAGTAACATTTTGGATTTTTTTCTTTTAAAAAAGGTGAAAAGAGATTTGAGTGCCCGGAATGTTCTAAGAGGTTTATGAGAAGTGACCATCTCTCAAAACATGTCAAAACTCACCAGAACAAGAAGGGTGGTGGAACAGCTCTTGCTATTGTTACCTCGGGAGAACTGGACTCCTCCGTTACTGAGGTTCTTGGTTCTCCAAGAATTGTCACTGTTGCTGCCATTTCTCAAGATTCAAACCCAGCAACCCCTAATGTTTCAACAAACATGGAGGAATTCTGAAAGGATCATTTGTACAGACACCTAGTGCTGCACTTAAGTTTACATGCCTTTCAGGATATGGAAGTGGGCTGGTAAAGTGGATGGATGACAGAGCAGGAAATCATGTTTTCAGTCTTGACTTCTCTAAGTGTTCCAGGTTGGAGGGTCAGCATGGAAAGTGTACACTGGTGCAACAGGAAAAAAAATTCAAAAATACAAACAACGCAAATTGATGAACTGGATAAACAGATGGGGGAATATTATTTCCATACTGTACTTTTTTAGTTATATATCTGTATATCATGTAATGATTTTAAATGAACTTTTCCTTCTATTTTAGCATTGTATGTTAATATGTTTGTAAAATCAGATAATGTCAGTGTAAAACAGGGTGAACCTTGACGAGGATGGATATCATTTGATGAAGGTACTTCATTTTTAATACAGATTTGTAATATTTTCATGGGAGCATCCTTTTCCCGTAAGGCACAACAAAACTGAATACAGATTGAGTTATAACTGAAGGATTTTATTTTTTTGCTCACAGAACATGTCAATTGATTTTGGCCGTCTTTTCTCACATTTTGGAATTACTCAAAAAGCAGCTGGACAATGCATGCTGCAAAATGCATCTGAGGTAGGCCTCAGATAATATTGGCCACTACATTATAGTAGTGTGTATAAAAGACAATCAGTGAATTCTAATCCCTCTCTTTCTTTGGAGAGCTAAGGTTATGTAGAATTAGTGTATACAGTAGGAAAAACTAAACTGTAGAAAGATATTAACATAAAATTTTACAAAAATAAAGGTATCTATGTAGGATGAAAATTATTATGACAACTTGTATGTCAATTTTTGGTATTTCATTTCATTATATTTTAAAACACCAGTGGTCCATTTCTAACTTGTAGGTAACATGAAACATAAAAACTCAACCTTGAATACTTAATTGTTTTAATTTTGTTAGAATTCATGGACATTAATCAGAGAATTGTCTCCGTGACTGTTGTAGCTCATTCTCCAGCTTCTTCTTCCTGTAAATACTAGTTATTATATTGTGGTTAATGTGCTGAGTTCTTTATGCTTTGACTTAATAGCCAAAGAAAAGAATTAATTATCACATTTTAACCAAAAAAGGCATTATAAGTAAAATGTTTTTTCTCCTCTCTCCTAAATATTACTGTCTTTATTCACTTTCCAAGGATAATGTGTGGGCTGGTAATATATGTGTCACCTGTGAAATCTTACACTGAGCCTCCAACCACAAAACAAACTGGGGAAAAGGGAATATAGCTGTCTGTATTACACAGCTTTTGATTTGAAAAGTTTGGTTAAATTTTCAGATGTGTCAGTTTGATAGGAATATAGAGAAAATGAAAGCAAAACAACAAACAGTGCATTTGTATGTAAAAATTCCAATGCATACACGGAGGAAAGATGGCCAAATATTTCATACTCAGGATTTTTAATTATTCCCGTAAGCATAAATGTAATCTTTTACAAATGTAGCTATTTGGTAATACCTCTCATGACCATTTTTTAATTACACAACAAAACATTTTTGATGTACCTAAAGGAAGTACAGTGCAAGAAGGATAAGAATTTTTTTTTCTGTAAATTATAAAGAAATGAAAGAATGTGTTTGGTAACTGTTGGTTTGAGACATGTAACAGATACCTTGTGCATTCTCTCACAAAACATATATTTCTCATCTGAATACTTTATCAATCTTGTGGTGTTTTGTGTATTTTTGAAGCAAGAGAAATACCAATCATTGTTTACACTGTGTACACTTTAGGCCAGCCCTTTGTAGCAAAATACTAAGCTGAAGGTATTTTATACTTTCAGTTTACATAAAAAAGCTTTGAGATTAAAGAAAAACAATTTTACACTGTGGTTATAAATTTCAAGTTTCTTAAAGCTTTTGTAGACTTGTAACAAAGTCTTTAAATTTTAGTTGGGTTTTGTACATTATTTTGTATATTTTATTTAAAGTACTCTTAACTGATGTATCTGGATTTAAAACATCAGAGTCAATTAGATGTTACATTTAATACAGAGGAACATTAGGTAGTATTAACTGTTAATTTTATTATATAGGAAATGAAAACGTCAAATATATATTTTATCATTATGCTTCACAATCAGTGCTATAAATTTCTTTATGCAAAGAAAAACTTTCCTAATATTATTACCATGTTTCCTAGAAGTTAACGATTTTTGTAAACCGAAGTTCTGAGCATTCTGCACAACCATTTCATATATAATTTTTTCATGCATACTTATGTATGCAAATGGGAACCTGAAGTCATTTTTAATCTGCAATGAATCCCTATTATAGATGTATCAAAACCTAAATCTGGTTGGCTTCATAGTGTCTCAAGTACATTAGCTTGTGTTAGCAGGTGCACATTTTACCGCTGGAATTAGAAACATTTTGACAGTCTGTTCTGCATACCATTCTGAATCCACTTTTCTGTCTTAAAAGGATCGTAAATTTCAATGTCCTTTATTTGACTCAGTGGGATATAGCTGTTGTAAGTAATAGGGCACAGATGTGCAGTAGTATCTTGTTTAATGGCATTTCACTGTTCATTCCCTTTGCCACCGTTAAAAATTTTGCTTTATTGTAATTATCAGTGCAAAGTGTATTAACCATGGTAGAACTCCAGTGTTAGAATAGTTTTTTTTCTTTCTTAAAATGCGCTTTCTTTGGTTAGGTTTGTGTATGTGTTGCCGATTACATTAGAAATTGGTGTTAAGTCATTATTTATCACATTCTTTCACGAGAGCAGTAATAAAAGTGTGTAATCTAGGAGAAAAAGTTAATTTGTCAAAGTTAGGTAAGCATGATGTTTAGGTCCTATTTTTCAATTTTATAACTGTTTTATTGCAACAATATTTGTATTTAAGTCTTCATTTTAATGCCTTGTGGTGTTTTTTTTTATGCATGTCACTGAATTGTCATCCCGCAAGAATTGATGTGCAGCATAGGGTATTAAATCTACATAATGATTTTGAAACAGAAAAATAGTTGATGGTAAAAATGTAAATGTTTTGCAAAAGTTCCTTATAAAAAAGTTTTGTAGTAATATTTCACTTGTAAATTTTTCTAAAAAAAAAAATGGAAAAGAAAAAAATGAACGAGTAACTTTTCCCCACATGTAGAATTTAGAAATTAACTCTGCCAGCAAAGCCTGTAAGGCATTAATTTGACACTTTTACAATGCTGATTTGTATAATTTTTGGTGTGTTTGGAACTAAAATCATGTACAAGTTGTTGCCTGCAATAACATTTTGCAAGTAACTTATTAAAATTCCCTTGAGTTTAAAAGGTTTCTTCATTTAATTGCTTACATTATAAAGCAGCAATAAATTATGTTTGAATGATAATCTGTTCATCAAGAAGAACACTAGAAAGCAAATGCTTCTCAATGGGGAAAGGTTGGCAGCAGCTTCTGGATTTGTGTAATTAAGACCTGTACTTGCTGGTCAGCGTTTCCCAACTGGCAGACTCCCAACAGGGAATTAAAACTGCAAATTCTAGCTCAGCAAGAATTCTGTTGGGTTTGTTCAGCTCTTGGGAATGGAAGTTACAGTTATTTCTAAACATGTACATTTTTAACAAAGAAAATGGCAGGTGAGTAACTGAGGGAAAAGCTTTACTAAGATAAGGAATAAAGAAAAAAAAGAGAGAAAAGAAAAACAAAAAATATCTAGAATTCGATTCAAGGGAAGTGTCATAAATGTAGAGATAGGGATCAGAAAAAAAATGGATTGTTTTCAGAAGAAAGCTTAAAGTACTGGCTTCAACACATACTGATTTTTTCTTAGAGAAATAAATTCCAAGCAAAAAAACACTTGTTTCTTCCATCAAGCTCAAAAGAAGAGGGAATTAAAAATTTGTGACTTCTAGACTTCTACTGCAAGACGGAATCATCTTGCCTGTTTTCTAATTGAGACCTAAAATCAATTATCTTTATTGTATGTTTGATTAAATGCCTGTTTAATTTTAAGTCTCGTTAACCTCTATTTGAATGTAATGATTCTAATGTCAAGCAGACTTATTAACTCAGGTCAAAATATGTAATAATTCTAGTGCCTCTGACCAACTAATGTATCTTTATTACCCACTTCTTTAGTGTTCTGGCATTGGAATTTTTGTTGTGAATTGTTTTCAAGCTACATTTTTTTTCTTTTTTTTTAAGCAGCTTCTAAATTATTGATAAGCAAGTAATCCTCCATCTATGCAGTCACCATTGTGGTACCAGCTTAGAAAATGTAACATAAAATATAACATAAGGATGTTAAGGATTTCGTTTACCCATTTAGTCCTTTAACTGTGATCATTCTGTTTTCTGAAAAACATAGGATATAATTCCAAATGGATTAATATTTTGCTCCAAATTTAAAATGCATTCATTACCATTACTGTAATTTTATGAAATAACATTTTATTTATTTATATTTGTTAGCTTAAATTTGTGTCCTGCGAATAGCAAACACCAGTTCTTTTCTATATGGGAAATCCCTATTTTCAATTCATATTCAGCTTCTTGCTGTCACCCTCTCTTTCCGTAGACTTGCCGTGTCTCATGTCCGTTTCCCTTTCCAAAAGCTACGTGCATCATTTCTTGATATCCTGAGATTTGTCGATGTAGATGGAAATACCATGGAGACCTACAGCTATCATAAGCTGTCCTTGCTTGCTAGAATAACTTCCTGAGGGAGAGGACAGGAGGATACATTTTATAGCAGAACCGCTTCGCTACGGTGGTGGCCAGAAGTTATGAGCGAGAGCTGGACTGGCGATGTCATCACTTGGTCTGAATGTGGCTGAAGGCACTTTCTTCAGCTAAGCTAGATACTTACCCACCATGACTGAGGGATGTGGCTCCATGTACCCATTCCACAAGGGAAGTGATTTGCCATTAACAGAAATGGTGAAAAGCTCTTAATTTTGATACAGAATTCTGTGGGTTTGTTCTCCAGAAGTTCTTGGAATATAAAGTTTATAGCTTAAAAGATTGTAAGAGACTTTAATATTTAGGAATTGTTCAAGTGATTTTTTTAAAAATCATTTCACTAGGTGAGGTATTTTTCTCCTTGTTTTTGCTTTTGTTATTATTTAAAAAAAAAGTAATAAGACGATGAGCCTTAATATAAAAGCACCTATACCACAGTGAGGCAGAGGTTGCCTTCTGAGCTTAGTCTTTAATCATGTTTGATTTTGATGCTTATTTTGACTTCTATTACTAGGAGTGAGAATTGGGTGTGCCGGTACAAAAGGTTTATACACAGAGGACATCTTTCCTTAGAGACGACAGCACCACTGCTCGCATCTTCATTAGGATAGAGAGAGAGAGAGGGTGGGTGCTCCAGGTGACCCTGTTTGTGCAGGGAGCTTGGACTAGATGATTTCCAAAGGTCCCAGCCAACCTCAACCATTCTGTGAAAATCACAGACTACTTGTCAAATGGGATTTTAGAAGGCTATTAAAATCACTTTATTTTGTCGTTTTCCAACAGTAAACTTGCATAAGTGGGAGCAGAAGCTGATGATTAAAGAAAAGCTGATTAAAGAAAATAAAGGTAGGCAGAGCAAAACCAGGATTTTGGTTGGTGTGCTTTATTATTATTATTATTTATCTTCCCAAAACGATAGCTTTTTATTGGCACCTCCCATTAAGGTTCACTACCACTTTCAGTCAACTGTAAATACAAACTGGCCCAAAAAAAAAAAAGAATTGAAGGAGGCAAGAATTGACTGAGTTAAGAGGACTGGTAAGATAGATAGCAGAAAAAAAGAGGTAATAAAAATGTACATGATAAAAAAAAAAGACTAAATAAAATGGACTAACCTGAATTTGACTTTAAATGATGATGGGGAGCAGGAATAAGAGTAGTACCCATTCTGAGCTATAAGGTGATGGAAAATATTGTTTTGTTGCAGATAGACTTTTACTATGCCTTTGAATTTTGAAACAAACCTAGTTACACACATGTTACTGGCAGGTTCTTTCTATCTTGACAAGCAGCAGAACTCTTAGTTTAGTACTAAAAGTTCTTTAATAAGGAGAAAAACTTAATTTAGTTGGTAATTATTTTTAATGTCTCACTAAACTGCTGGATTTC